AAAGCCGTATTTGGTCACGCAGTTGGTGTTAAGACCCTCAGCTGTTGTAAGCTGTCTGGTTCTTTGTAGGGATGGCCTGGGAAAATCGAACGTGTGTTCGTAAGCACTAGTCATTTTCAAAACCTGTTTATACTACAAGCAAATTACCAATGCATGTAAAGTGCCCTCTCTAGTTTCAATAACGTCCGATGGTTTGACAGGCACCGACGCAGTATGTCTCTTAAATTATTTTGCAAAGAAAGAGAGATAAGTTATTCTATATAACCATGCTACCAACGAATCTCTAGCACGAAAGCTTGTCAATGAGGAACACTCTCGTTTATACAGAGAAGAAGAGGGTCCTATACTATACTAAGTGAGGAGATGAGAACCAAAATGGCGAAGTATGCTAATAAACACGGGACACCAAAAACGTTAATAAAATTCGGCGAATTGAATTTAAAGGAATCTACTGTTCGACATCTGAAAAAAATTGCAATTCTGTTCGAAAAAGAAAATTAAATCTTGATATTGATGAACTTCCAAGAAAAAAAAGGGTCGGCCATTAATGCTGGGGAAGACCTTGGCAAGAAAGTTCAGGAGTTAGTTACAGAAATAAGGGATGCGGGTGGTATAACTAACAGTCGAATAATCCGTGCCATAGCAAAAGGAGTGGTGCTAACAGAAGACAGAACGCTGTTGGAAGAAAATGTAGGGGCGTTCATTGAAATAACTCGGCATTGGGAACTCTCGCTCTTGAAGAGCAGACCTGCCTACCCTTTTTATTGCAAAGTTGTAATTTCAGTACTTTTTTGGTGGAGTTTCAGAGGTAAAAGCGTAATCATTTGTGCTTTTCTATTTTCATGTATCATTATGGCACTATATATATTCTCTAAACACAACCGTAATTACACATCATTGTAAAAAAAAAAGGCGTAAATGTATGCTTTTCAAAGCACATGTGTTGTAGAATACCTGGAAATCTATCCTATGACCTATATCGAACCTAATTCAACCTAACACTGAAGCTGTTGATGAATTTGTATCGAGTCACTTTATTGAAGGGTTGCATATGCAAATCGTGCTTAATGTGTTTTGTCATATCATACCCCCACTTAAAAAATGGGGGGGGGGGTATAATAATCGGGATGTACCATCTCTGATCCATTCTCCTCTCATATCACTGAAAAAAGTTTGATGAAACTTTCTAAGTTTTTTATTACATATTACCATCGTGCATCTCATAATTTACTTTATCATCCGACATATATATTGCGTTTCCCAAAACATGGACACAATGCCATAATATTCATATGGGATGCGGGGGTTATAATTTATAAGCTCATTGCTCACTGCTTCTAGTTTTAACCTCCTTTTTCTCAATTTTGATCTTAGCAATGTGAGAATAAAACGAATTAATTAAAAGCTGAACTGGTTGTACATATTGCACGTATCATTTCATAGATAACGTAAGTAATGCCTTCGCGCCTTCTTTTTTTTTGGCATGCCACTACTAGGTATATTACGTATGTTATCTGTACATATATCTACAACCTGAATGATTATAGATCGTGAAAAACATGTTCTCTGTTACACTGTATTTTTTATCTTTTAACATTTCATTTCAGTAGGTCGTACTTTATCTTAAAGCCATATATGGCGTATGTACAATGAAAATTATTAGACTAAACTTATAAGAACTTATTATTTGAATCATTACTTTATATAAAGATAGAACTTTTCCGTAAATTACACAATCTAAGTCAATTGCGTTATAAAGATATCACAATTTGATTTGGATTCTCGGAATTTTCTCCGACTCGGAAGAAAATACAAAAGATTTAAATAACACATTACAGAGAAGATAAAATTGTATTATTAGATGAAACGAGGTGTTCTCCGTGTTTAGAATTGTATGAAAAGCTTTAATTTAAATGTGTTAACTGTATTTCTTTACTTAATTTTGTATTTTTCAAAAATATATTTTTTTGATCAGTTACGCCATATATGCTTTAAAAGTTAGCTGTTGTTAAAGAAAGTTTTTTAAAAGTTCAAAAGCGTAAAATTTAAATAAAAGGCGTAATAGCGTAATTGTATTGTAAAAAGCGGAAGAATTACGCCAAAAGCGGAAGGGTAGGCAGGTCTGGAAGAGAATGAATGAAAGACGTGGAAGCAGTACGGCTAAACCTGAAGTCAAGAACTTAAAGGAACTCAAATCAAATTTTCTCAGTTAAATCGAAGAACCTGTTACAAAATATGAAATCCCTCCACAGCTTGTAATTAACTTTGACCACACTGGTGTTCAGCTATTTCCTATTAGAGGGTGGACAATGGCGGAGAAGGGGTGTGACAAAGGAAACATCGTTGGCTTGGACGACAAACTTGAAATCATAGGTAAGAATAATTATATAATTACGAATGACAATTATTAAATCATAATTAATATGGTTAATTTATTTTAAGCAATGCATCTTACTCAATACTGTATGTTTAAAAAAAAATACAGGAGTTATGGCCAAAGCTTTGAGCGGAGATATTCTGCCACTGCAAGTAATTTATAGAGGGAAAACATTTGCTTGTCATGCAAAATATAATTTTCCTAGAGACTGGGACGTTACTCTCACAGATAATCATTGGACGAACAAAGAAATTACTTTTCGTTATCTTGACAAGATCATCATACCATACGTAAACAAAGTGAGAGATAAACTAGACTTCCTTTGCGCCAAAAGGCTCTGATCAGCTTAGACATTTTTAGTGCACAACGTTCCGAGGAATTGAGAGATCGAATGAAATCAGGATTTAGTTTATGTGTACGTCCCACAGAACTGTACCTCTGTGATAAATGTGAAATGTTAATTGCGTTGTCATGTTTACAATGTGCGATATTTCTTGTCTCATACTTTGTTGTGACATGTCGAGGAAATTCGAACTGGTATTGATGCATGATTACTGTATAAATGCATATTATATTTATTAATTTCGATGTTAATCATATTCATTTTTACATACTTAATTACCTCTATTCATATGATTACGTCTATTAGATTACGTCTATTATTGTGGAAAACTACAACTTGTATCCAAAACTGTGAAGAAAGATGTTTTGACTTTACCGGGAAATCACATGTTTTCATACTGCAATCCCGATCCCGATCGAACATGATTTGTATAAAGAATTTCGTATTTATTCTGTACTTTGACTCGAGTACTGTTTTCTTGTAGTAATGTTATGTATTTAAAATAAATATTATCGTATTTTTATTACCGTTTTAATGATACAAGTTGTGTATTGTAAATATGTAGGTATTGCTATGACCTAGTTACCTAGATACCTTTGTATAACATACGGGTTCTTGTGATATAGAGGTACGGCAGCCGTTAAGGGTGACAATCTATTATTGTTGAAAGGTATTTTTTATTAGTTTTTAAGTACTTAAATGATATTGTAATATTATAGAAAGGATTTTTAACGAATGTTATAGTGAATAGGGATTTTTATTACATTGTTCAATATTTTTTAAAGGAAAATATCTAAATTTAAACCTGAAAATATTATATTTCATATTTTATGTTCTAAATGAATAGTTCATATTAATTGATATAATATTTGTGTCTTTTCTAACGTTTTTGAATTTAAATACACATAACAAATTCAGCAAACGCAATAACCTCAGAACTTCAACCAATGGACTTGAGTGTTCAAAAGATTGTTAAAGACCACATGCGTGAACAGTTTGAAACGTGGTATGCTGAAAAGGTCGCAGCGAAACTGGTTATGAATTGGATATTAATCTTGTAATGTCCGTTCTCAAACCACTCAGTGCAAAGTGGCTTGATTCATCCATATCATACCTAAAGAGAAACCAAAAGAAAGTTTACAGCGGTTTCAAGAAAGGTTGGATTTCAGACGCGCTGAAAATCTCATTTGAATTTTATTGATAAATTTGTGTTCCCATACTGGACCATTTCAACAAAATTTTAATTTAATCTTAACCAGGAAATATTTTAATTTGAATTTTTAAGGTAAGTTAAAGATGACACCGTTTTCATTTATTTTATGTAAATGCATGATTTAATAAAAAAGAGTTTAGATGTTTTATCTCTACTCATATTTCATCTGATAATTGAATGTTGGTGTTGTTTTACTAGTATATTTCTGTATGTACATGTGTAATTTATTGTATCTACATCTGAATCTAGATAGAATGCTCTATATTGTCCAACGGACCTGGTTAACGATAGAATTCGTTCCGAGTATTCACAGTTTTGCAAAATAAACACGGGCGATAACTCGAACTCGTGTGCATTTTCCACAAACAATCAAGAGTTCCAAACGTAAACATGGCGTGTAAATTTGAGGTGAGAAAATAAGTTAAATCTTCGTCTTTATTTGGATTTATATTTTAGGTTAAAAGGCATAAACAATCTCAAAAAGGTCTATAATTTTTGGAAGTTATTTTCATTGCAGTTCCTTTTGTCTTCTTAAAAATTGTTCCGGAACGAGTCAGACTTTTTTTTGTCACATTGCAAAGTATATTGGTGGTATTCTAACTCTGCTTACTAATGTGAAACAAACTGTTATGAAAATTTAAAGTGCTTTTTAGCTCACCTCGACGAAGTCGAGATGAGCTTATGCTATACCCCCGGCGTTGGCGTCGGCGTCCCAGGTTAAAGTTTTAGGAGCAAGTCCATTCCCAAGTAACTATTAGCCCTATCTGAACCAAACTTGCATGGATGATGCATCTAGGAATGTACACTACCAGACTTGCTTCGGATGCTGGATCCGACCTACATTTTCCAGATGAGTGACCAGGTTAAAGTTTTGGAGCAGGTCCATTCCCAAGGAATTATAAGCCCTACCCAGACTAAACTTGCATGGATGATGCATCTATGAATGTACACTACCAGACTTGCTTCGGATGCTGGATCTGACCTACATTTTCCAGATGAGTGACCAGGTTAAAGTTTTTGGAGCAGGTCTATTCCCAAGGAACTATAAGCCCTATCTGAACCAAACTTGCATGGATGATGCATCTAGGGATGTACACTACCAGACTTGCTTTGGATGCTGGATCTGATCTACATTGTCTAGATGAGTGACCAGGTTAAAGTTTTTGGAGCAGGTCCATTCCTCAGGAACTATAAGCCCTATTTGGACCAAACTTGCATGGATGATGCATCTAGGGATGGACACTACCAGACTTGCTTCGGATGCTGGATCTGACCTACATTTTCATTCCCATGTAACTATGAACCCTACCTGAAGCAAACTTGCATGGATGATGTATCTAGGGATGTACACTACCAGACTAGTTTCAGATGCTGGATCTGACCTACATTTTCATTCCCAAGTAACTATAGCTCTATCTGGACCAAACTTGCATGGATGATGTATCTAGGGAGGGACACTACCAGACTTGCTTCGGATGCTGGATCTGACCTACATTTTCATTCCCAAGTAACTATAAGCCCTACCTGAACCAAACTTGCTTGGATGATGTATCTAAGGATGGACACTACCAGACGTGCTTCGGATGCTGGATCTGACCTACATTTTCATTCCCAAGTAACTATAAGCCCTTCCTGAATCAAACTTGCATGGATGATGCATCTAGGGATGGACACTACCAGACTTGCTTCGGATGCTGGATCTGACCTACATTTTTCATTCCCAAGTAACTGTAAGCCCTAGCTAAACCAAACTTGCATGGATGATGTATCTTAGGATGGACACTACCAGGCTTGCTTCGGATGCTGGATCTGACCTACATTTTCATTCCCAAGTAACTATAAGCCCTAGCTAAACCAAACTTGCATGGATGATGCATCTTAGGATGGACACTATCAGACTTGCTTAGGATGCTGGATCTGACCTATATTTTCCATACAAGAGACCAGGTTAAAGTTTTGGGAACAGATCAATCCGAATGAACTTGAAGTCTTTGATATCTGCAGTTTTAACAGTTATGAATATTTGTTTACACAATACATGTTTTTCACACTAAACGCATAGAAATGTGTATATGCCATGTAAAGGGTTAAGCACAACTTGCAAGAATATTGTTGTTGGGATGAATACTTAATATTAAGAAAATATGATGTAGGATTTGCATTACTTAAACTGATAACATTCGTCGAGGTGAGCTTCGTAATCTTTCATTACCTATGTTTATTTTTAGCGCCAATGACAATTCGCAAAACGTAAAAAATAATCAACAGCTTTTTGACTTAGATTCGCAAAAATAAATCGACGTAAAAATGTCCAGATTTAAGGTAGTCCCTTTAAGGATACACCAAAGGCTTTTTTCAAGATTTAAGGTAGTCCCTTTAAGGATACACCAAAGGCTTTTTTCAAGATTTTTGTCGATTTTGAGATTTTTGGCTAGAAAAAAATGCTATCACTGCTTTATAATGCAAGAAAATAAATTCTTGCTGATTATTAAATGGTTTTCTAATTATTTAACAATAATCAAACATAAACACTTACACATGTGAATGTGCCGTTATAGAAGCTTCTGATTTGGTCTGTAACTGCCTGCTTCTGAGCAATAAATCATTGTGACTATTAGGGGAATTCTTCACTAGTGTGGTGGTTTTCGATACCGGGCTTATTTGCCTATGGGTCGAATCCCACTGGTACCCAACAGAAGCACGTTTTCCGGTGTATGAGAGAGGGCGCCAGATTTGTCACTGTGTGCATGGTGTATGCTGTTATTTGCTACATTATTACCTGTTTTTACATACAATAAACAGTGGTAAGTTTACCCTATCGTTTTCCCTCGATCTCGGCTCTATAGCGGAGCGGAAACACGATAAATGGCGCTGCGAGCAGGGTGGTAAGTGTTTACGAGTGGGGAAAAATTATTTCTACAGTGACGACAACGTGGATGGCGCCATTTTGAAAAAGAATAAAATTGATGTGTATTTATGCTATGTTCGCGGTGTTCCGCGGATCATTCATGTTGTAATATGCAGAATTGATTGTTGTTTTTTTCAATTTTTGGTGCGTATCGAGGTACTATTTTTATCATTATGGAAAAAATGCAAACTGTAGGTGTAGGTAGAGGGGGCCGGAGATATCCGGATGGCCGGTACGTCCAGCCTGGGGGAAATGGCCAAGGTAGCCTGGGAAGTACCTCGGGGAATATCGGTAAGGGTAAGGTCCCTAATACAAGCAAGGTGCATTTTGACCCAAAGATGTTCAGTACACCCCGAGGGGAGGGTGCCCCTGTTTATAATGCCACCCGGTATGAGCAAGTTGATATGTCGCTCACTCAGGAGGAGGGTAAGCTTCAGGGTCAAAAAGAGGTAATGTCAATAACAGAACTTGAAAAAAGACAACAAGTACTTGAAGAGGCAGTTGACAATCTACAGGGTATGGTAGATGGTTTAGGCTATGGTCTGGGTGATCTAAGAACTGAGGTTTCTGAGCAGGTAAATTCTTTAAGGGGTGAAGTGTCGCATAGGGTAGATTCTCTTAAAAATGATATAGGATCTCTTGAGACTAGTATGACCGTGCAAGTACAGGGGGTAGGTACCCAGCTGGGGGGAATAACCAGAATGTTGAGCGGTCTGTTGGGTCCCAATAAAACTTGTGAAAGTCAGACATCTACTGTCAGCCTCGCTGCAAGTCAGCCACTTATTTCCAGTAGCCAGGGGAGTCCTTGGGTTCCTGGACAGACAGTACATGGGTCTTCTACATTTAGTGAGGGTGTAGCATTCTCTGGGGGTCCAGGGGGTGTGGGCAGCTCAATTGGATCTGTCTCCGCAGGGGGGCAGGTTAATGCCAGCTTCTCACGGGGTATTGCGGAAGTGTCTGGGACAGAGCCGAGCCATAACTTTACAGCTGGTTATTGTAGCTCAACTGGCCTCGGGTTTGGGTTACCTAGTACCATATTGTCAGACTCGTTACAATCAGGAGGTTTTATTGGTAGTGGAAATGCTGATCAGAGGTCTCAGATAGGGGGTCAAGTTTCTAGAGGTATGGGGGAAGCCCCTGTTCAAATTCCCTTGACCCAAGGTTGCTCCAATGAAATTTGGCAAAATGCCACAGGACCTGGTTATCATGGAACTCCTTCTGGACCACCAATTACGATGGGGAATAGGCAGCCAATTATGTCGCACATGTGGCAGTCAGGTAGTATCCCAAGTCCTACTTTAGCAAGTACACATAGGTCTCCATTACCAAGCCTTATACCACCAGGTAGTAGAAATGGGGTAAGTAGGAGTATACCCACAGAGGTAAAGGGTGTTAAGTACAATGGCGATGTAGAGTGGGGTCCTTTCTACTCTAAATTCTCGACAATTGCTGAGTATCATGGGTGGGGGGACGCTGATTGTTTATGTGCCCTTAGTCTTACCTTGGAGGGTTCAGCATTGAAATATTTTGACATTTTGCGCCGCAGGGGTACCCGGCTTACTTTCCAAGAAGTTATTCTCCGTATGGAAGAAAGATTTGGAAAGATTTCCCTGCGGGCAGCCTCCCAGTTAGAATTTAATTCTATTATGCAAGGACCTGAAGAGCCCATAGAACAATGGGGGGACAGGGTAATGGATACAGCCCAAAAAGCCTTTGGGGGAGGAACCTCACCTGAAATTTTTCAGGAACAATTAATAATGAGGTTTGCTTTAGGATGTAGAGATTGTGAGGCAGGTCAGCAGATCATTAATCACCCACCAAGTACTCTAGAGGAAGCAATCAAGAGGGTTAAGACATTCCAATTAAGTCGACGCGCTATTGTTCGTCGCCAAAAGGCGGTAAGGTCCACTTCTAATGATAGGTCAGTCTCTTATACTAGCTACTCAAGGTCAATCTCACCTGTCAGTCAAAGGTCACCTGAATATGTTGATAGGGGTCGAACGAGTGAAAGGTCTCGGGGTTTAAATGATAGACAAAGTGAGAGCCGAGGTCACAGTCCAAGACAATTTTCAAGGTCACAAGGGTCATCTAGTCCCAGCCGCCTGGTGAATTCAAGGTCAGTTGTGTGTTTTGAGTGTAAGCAGTCGGGACATATAAGGAGAAACTGTCCAAATAGGTTACGGACTCGTAATTCGGTTTCTCCATCCGGGAATACTAGGGGTACAGGTCAAACAGAGCCAAAGGTGTCGGTGCCGACATCTACTGTAAAAAATGTGACATTTGCGGAGAACCCGTCTGTCAATGCAGCCCATGTGATACCGTCTGTGCAGTCTGGTAATAAAGGTGAAAATTCAGGTGCATGGCGTGTTCCAGTAGAGATTGCAGGGTTACAAATAAATGCCACAGTTGACACCGCCGCAGATATAACAATTGTTTCCCAGAAAGTATATGACTCTATGTTACCAAAGCCGCATGTTGTAGAGGAATCAAGCATCAGACTTGCGGGTGAAGGAACTGGTATGAATGCCCAGTTCTTGGGTAAGGTAACGCTTATTATGGGTGGATACGAATTTGAGCATCCGGTTTATGTAGGCCCATTACAGGATGAGATGCTTTTAGGAATTGATTTCCTTAGGGCTCATGATGCACAAATTTCCTGCGAGACTGGAATCTTGCGAATCAAAGAAATAACAGGTACAATTAAGATGTTTGCTGAGGGTCCATGGCAAGTGCTCAATGCTATATCTTCCCGTAGGGTGCGGATTCCTCCACACACTGCTCAAGTAATAGAGTGCCACCTAGATGCTGAGATGCCAGATTTCATCATTGAACCAGTTAGTGTTTTCCCCTCTGGCATTGTTGCCTCTAGAACTTATAACGCCGCAGGGAAAGTAGGTAAGCTGTGTGTCATGAACCTAACTGACAGAAGTCATATTATTAAAACAGGAAGTGTTGTTGGGGAAGCAACAGCAGCTCATGCAGTCAGGGAAGGTGAGCCCTCATTGCGTCGGGTGTTAACAGAGGGGCAAAAGGATTGTGAACATGTTAGTTCAATAATCAGGGATTTAGAGAAGAATGCGCCAACAGAAGTGCGCAAGGAGGCGGTTGACCTAGTCACTGAATTTTCAGATGTTTTTGCTATCAATGACCTTGACCTGGGTAATTTCTCAGAAATAGAGCATTGCATTGATACAAGTGATGCACGCCCTATTAAGCAGCGGATGCGCAGAACTCCTGCTGTTTTTCAGGGGGAGGAAGAGGGCCACTTGGATAAAATGCTGGAAGCTGG